ATTGAATATATATTTTATATATTGAATATAATATAATATATTAAGATTAAGAATGAATCTGACTCCATGTTCCTCTGAGAACATGGAGTCAGATTCATTCCTTCCAGCCACGGGGGACCCCAGAAAATACCACAGCTGAGTGTGCTGGCATTGAGGGATGATGCTCCTCTGCTCCTCCCCAGGGACAGCTGGAGCTGCATTTGCAGGGTTTGGGTGTCCCTGAGTGTGCTGGCATTGAGGGATGCTCTCTGCTCCTCAGCAGAGAGGTCACTCCTGTCCCTGTGAGCAGCAGAAATGGAATCACTGAATCACAGAGCATTCCCAGCAGCTGCAGGAGATGGAAATCCTGCTGCAAGTGCTGGTTTAGGGAATAAATCACCTTTACAGGCTGATTTCCATCATCCCCCACTGCTCTGGCACAGGGACAGTGGCTTTGCCATGCCCTGCTGGGTGACCTGGCCCTTCCTGCTGCTCAGGTGAGCATCCCCTGATCCCTGTCCTGTCTGACCCCCTGTCCCTCCCTGCAGAGCTGGACAGGGCCCTGACTGAGCCCCAGATCCAGGTGATCTGCCGCCAGATGCTGGAAGCTCTGCACTACCTGCACAGCAAGAGGATCATCCACAGGGACCTGAAGGCTGGCAACGTGCTCCTCACCCAGGATGGGGACATCAAGCTGGGTGAGTCAGTGCCTGGCACCTCCCCAGGGACAGCTGGAGCTGGATCTGTGGGGTTTGGGTGTCCCTGAGTGTCACTGTCATTTTCTGAAAAATCCCTTCACCAGGATTTCTTCTCCTGGAAGCTGAGAAGCCTCAGAGAAAAAGGAAAACAATAATTATCTGATTGCTTCTCCTGTGTTTTGCTGCTCTCTGGAACGTAGTTTGAACATTGTTTACCAACAAGTGGTTGTTTTATTGGTTTCATGTGAATTATTTTCACTCAATGACCAATCACAGCCAGCTGTGTTGGGACTCTGGAAGGAGTCATGAGTTTTTCGTTATCATTCTTTGTAGCCTGTCTGTATCCTTTCTCTATTCTTTAGTATAGTTTAGTATAGCGAATAGAATAGAATAGAATAGAATAGAATAGAATAGAATGTATTTTTAATATAATGTAATATATTAGCCTTCTAAGAACATGGAGTCAGATTAATTCCTTCCTGCCATGGGGGACCCCAGAAAATACCACACCTGAGTGTGTTGGCATTGAGGGATGCTCCTCTGCTCCTCCCCAGGGACAGCTGGAGCTGCATTTGCAGGGTTTGGGTGTCCCTGAGTGTGCTGGCATTGAGGGATGCTCCTCTGCTGCAGGAGGAGCAGCAGCACAAGGAGGGGAAGGTTTTGTTCCAGGGAAAGGCAAATGGAGCTGCAGCCCCCAGGGCACAGCCAGCTCAGCCCCCCGATGGATTTTTCCTCCCTGAATTTATTTAATCCCTCTCTGAACCCAATTTCTGTGGGTTTTGGCCTGCTGAGCATCCTGAGCAGGGGGTGCCAGCTGGCAGGGCTGGGAGCTGGAGGAATTCCTCTTATCTGCACAGCAGCTTTGGTGGTGACAGGGGCAGCCTTGCCAGAGGGTTCCTTTGCCAGCTCTGGAGTTCAGCTGGCACCCAACGAGTGCTGCAGGAGGGAGGAGAGGTTGGGTTTGTGTGCAGGACAGGCAGGGACACCCTGAGCTCGGGCTGGGGATGGGTGACAGCTCCTCCAGCTGCCCCCAGGGCTGTCCCAGGGAGCAAACCCACTGAGTGGGCTCTGTACCCCCTCCAGGGCTGACCAGTTTAACCTGGGCTGAGCTCAGAAGGGACAAATCAGGGACAGAAGGAATGGAACAGCAATTTGGTTTTTCTGCTCTAAAATCAGGCTTTTTGCTAGGAAATAGGTCCTGAGATCTGCTGTGGATGAATGTAGCACTTTGTTTTTTCTTCTCTAAAAATCAGGCTTTTTGCTAGGAAATAAATGCTGAAATCTGCTATGGAGGAATGGAACAGCACATGGGTTTTTCTACTCTAAAATCAGGCTTTTTGCTAGGAAACAATCATGAAATCTGCTATGGAGGAATGTAACAGTATTTTGGTTTTTCTGCTCTAAAATCAGGCTTTTTGCTAGGAAATAGGTCCTGAAATCTGCTGTGGATGAATGTAGCACTTTGGTTTTTCTGCTCTA